TTCAATGATGATTGATGATGGTATAATAAAAACTGCAGTCTGCATCAGCACCAATTCTAGGCCTAAGTAAAGTTATTCAACCCAGAACTCTACTTAGCGCTAAAAATTTCCCTCACCCAACCTTGATCCCGTTTGACCCACTTATGAAGAGTCAAGATATATGACTAATCCTCTCCGTTCGTATTTTCTTATTGACTCTTTCTGACCCTTTAGGTTGGGTCGGGTCGGGAAGAATCGGATTAGTGGGTCGGTCCTAATCAAGTGGAATCCCAATCCCTTCACTCTCACTTTATTTCTCTCTCATTCCACAAGTGGGTAACATATAGTAATCCGGCCAACGGGCCGTGTAATAAGCTAGTTGTATAATAATAGAGATATTCACTACCAAAGCTATAAATTAAGTTTATGGCTTCACCAAATGACGGTTGGGAAACCATAATAAATGGCGGTTGGGCCCAAATAGAAAAAGAAAAACGACAAGTGCGGTTGGGCCAAGTTAAAAAAATGGAGGGAAGGAAATTCCCAAAATGGGTTTCCGAAAGTTACTTTCCGTGCAGGAATTTGTGAATGGTGTGATAGTTTTTCTCATTTGACTTTTATTTATTGTGTAGATAACTCTGTCAGTCTTAATAACCATTCACAAGCTGGCGCGTATATATCTAAACGATCCGGCTTGACATGCAAAGATTGAAAAACAACTAGGGAAGGAATTAAGTAAACATATCTGCCAATTGATTGACAAATGAAACATGTAACACTTTAGTCACACCATTAAGAACATGGTCCCTGATTACATGACAAACAATTTTTATATGTTTAGTACGTTCATGGTTAACAAAATTATCAGCTAGTTTAATGGTAGAAAGACTATCATAGAATATCGGAGTAGCAATGAACAAATCGATATGTAGGTCATGCAAAAGATATCTTAACCAAATGCTTTCACATGTTAAGAAGCGGCGGATCCAGGGGGCTGCCCCCGGGTCGCGGCGTAGCCCTCCTCTGGATCAAACCTAGTATAGCACTTGTAAATTTTTTATTTTCAATAATTGTTTAAGTATTTGTCAAGATACGGCCCAACCCACTATGCCTCATTTCAAAACGTGGCCCAGTGCTCGACCCAGTCATGGATTTGTTGTTGATGTTAAGCTGGCCATTGATCTGTACTCTGCCTCCGCAGAGGATCGAGAGACAGTTCACTATTGAGTGTTGACACACTATGGAGGGTTCGGTCACACAACTGATGATTCCATAGTTATATCTAAGTCACAGTATCAGTCTTGTTAAAGCATGAAATAAATAAATATTACAAATCAATCCTAATCTATTACAAATATTCCTTTTAACTCCTGGGAACTTCTTCCTCGGACAACTGTTAAAGCGGCCACTAGGTGGCGAGTTTTCCGTCAATCGAGTTCATCTTCTGATCTAACAATGTTGTTTCTAGCTTCCACCTATTTGCTTCCAGGATTTGGCTGTAGACAAAGTGCAGTCTGTTGGCCATTGGGGAGATTGTGACATGTGGACTGAGGGAAGATCCACTTCTTCATGAATCATGAGTAAGGCCAACTGCGAAAATTTTCTTTCGTAAAGAAGGGGCAAATATCAGCCCAAGCCCAGCATTGCAATCCAACCAATCCACTCAATACATATAAGTCCAAGTCCATTCAACCCAAACCCAGTCGGCCCAATTCATTGGTTTGGTGGGTAAATGGGCTGGGTTGATGAGTTCCTGAAGAGTTATCATTGAGTGCTCGAACATTTCATGTCTTACTGTTTCAGTAACAAATTGGGTATCAACTGTATCATGTTTTGACATAATATTTTGTGATTACATTTTAGTACATAAACTTGCCGAACTTGACAAGCTTGTCCAGAACTTAATTCTAAGTTCATTCTGCCAATTCAGTTCTGAAAACAAAAAATGGCTATTTAACAAACTACCCTAGCTGTCACGTTATGATTTAACATCCAAACTTCTAAAACTTTGCTCCGTAGAGTAGAATCTCCATTCCTTAGCAGCTTTTTCACAGAGTTAAAAGGAGAATAGCAATAACAAAGCATCTTCAATTGCAATCAGTCCGTGAATAGCACACGGGCTAATGGATATGAATTAAGCCAACAAGTGTTGATTATTAGAAAGTGAATACGGCAAACATTGATGATAATATAGAATAGAAGGAAAGGTGCAACCTTTTGGGAAAAGAGGGTTTGTGGTACGTAATTCCCCATCACCTTTTGCATTAGCAAAGCTAAGGCTGTCATGTGAAAATTGCAACAACTTTTTTTCTCCCTTGATGAAACAACCTTTTTATTAAAGCCTGGCCTAGCGCTAGGAATCTAGACCAAATCGTATGACAAATCACTGTTTAAATTGTACTGTACGGTTTGGTTAGGACCGTTAGACCATTAATACAATTTAGTCCGGTCCGTGGTTTGCCTCTTTCACTTGCGGTCTGGAACGGTTGGTCTGGTCTAGATCATGATTAACCGTCCAGACCGTGACCAAAATTAAGTTCGGGCTGAGCCCAACTCGGCTCCTCCAACCCTCCAAATTCCAATGGGCCAAGCCCAATTCCATTCTCCCCCAAGTCCCAACTCTGCACTTACAGCCCGCAGGTCGCACTTCGCACGCAGCCCTGGGTTTCCAATCGCCTCGCCAGCTCGCTTTCCCCACCAAAAAACCTAGCTATTCCCAGCAGCTCCGTCGCACGATTTTACCCATCAAAATCCATCATCTCCATCGATCCACCATTAACCATCGTGGTCGCAGCCCTAGCTGAGCTCTTTCGGCATTTCGGCTGCTGCTTCCCCATCGTCGTCGAGAGAGTTCGCAAGAGTGAGGCAAGAAGGAAACATCGACCTGCTGCTACTCTCCGTCGACCTCCACCATCAACCTCGACCTCCTCCTGCCTTCCATTGAATTTGCACTTTGTAGTTTGTTGAACTTATTAGTATTGAACTATGGATGTTGTTGATTCTTAATCTCATGTTATTTTGGGTTGTAGACTTGAAATTGTTGGTCTTATGTTGACTTTTGAACTTTGTCGGATTAGATGTCAACATGTTTTTTATTTTTCACTAGCTAATATTTAACATTGGATAATACAGGTTTTGTTCAACATGTCTACTCGGTCCAGACCGTACTGGACCGCACCGCACAGGTGTGGTCTGGTCTGGACCGTATAGGTTATGGTCTAGTCCATGGTCTCTATTTTACCCTCTCGGTCTGGACCGCAGACCGTGTATATGGTCTGGACAAGACCGCACCATTTCCCATCCCTAGCCTGGCCAGTGGCCACCCAGCATACACACACATATAAAATAAGTGTCAAACGTGCGGGTTCGGGCTGGGTTCAATCGAGTTGCGGGTTAGTCGAGTTGCGGGTAGTCAAGTTTTGGGTTCATCGGGTTGCGGGTTCATCGGGCTCAAATTCATCGGTTTGCGGTCTCATCGAGTACGTGTTCAATCCTGTTACGGGCAAATATGGTTGCGGGTCGGGCAGGTTGTGAGCGGATCAGGTTGCGGGTTGTTCCGGTCAACGCATCGAGTTACTTACTCCTTACTCTTTACCAACTTACACAATTTATTACACTAATTTAAATTTTTTTCACAAAATTTTAACCAATTTCTTTCTACGTCGTATATATACTTAAAATTTAGAGAAAAAATAGTCAAAATGTTGAATCAATTTATATGACTTGCAAACTTGTCATGTAAGTAATTGGTAAAGTACACTAGCTAATAGTAATAGTGATGTCAACATTTGCAACCAATAGACACCATTAATTGTTTATTTGATATTTTAGTATTATTTCAGTAGTAATTGGAATAAAGTATCTCGTTTGGTAGAACCATGCAAATCTTATATTTGGCAAAAGCATAGTGGTATTCAGATCATGAATTAACATGAGTTAGTTCATGATACTATACCCTAACCTCTAATGGGTGACCCGAATCCCCAATTCTCTAACCCAAATCATAAGATTCATTTAATCTTAAAATAAAAACCAACGGTTATGATGCATCAGAATTGTAGGTATGATTGTTTGAATTACCCTATTAAATTTAGTAAAATTGTTGCGAGTTCAATCGTAACTTACTCAATAACATATACCTTATACACTTAACCCTTACCCTCAATAGACAATATTAAGTTAGTATATGTTGTTGATCGTATACCCTAAACCATCAATACACACTAACCATGTACCCTATATACTAACCACATATCATGTACCCTCACCATATATCTTTAGAAGTTGTGATTTTGTTACTATAGTTAATTTAAAGTGAAATTCATACTTTGATTTTCAGAACATAGATAAAAAGGGATCTTTGCTACACCCTAACCATATATCATATACTCTAAACCATATACCCTAAACACGTACCCACAACATAGATTAAAAAGGAATCACCTGTCGTTAAAAACTTCAAATGACTTCATATACGGCTTAAACGCCGGGGGGGGGGGGGACGGTACGGTATCGGTATCCCAATATCAAATACCGAAGTCCCGAATACGGGATTACACTCTAAAATCAATCATAATCCCAATCCCAATTTCTAAATATTTTGGTATCCCAATCGACATTTCGGTATCGAATATAATGTTCGTTTCTTAATGAGCTCGCTCGTTTACTGAGTTAATTCAAATATCCTGCACTTCATGAGTTAATTCAGTGAGATGAATAGAGTAAGCTAAATCAATGGCATGCACTTCATTAATGTATCGTGAGTTAAACAGCACTTCTTGAGTTAATTCAATGAGATGAATAGAGTAAGCTAAACCAATGGCATGCACTTCATTGATGTATCATGAGTTAAACAAAAAGGATCACTAGATTAGTATGTTTTTTTTTATAATGGTGATAGAATTAGAATAAAAAGAAAAATGGAACAGTACAGAGAAATGCGAGGCAAAGGTTCACAAAAAGGTGAACCAAAAAGCCCAGCAGTCACAGAGGGGAACAGAAACTAACAACAGCAACAACAACTGCGGAAAAAAACAAAGCAGAAAAGAGCAGAAAGAGGCGAGGGACAAAGAACCCCAGGAGAACTAGCTAATTGGACCGAGCCAACCCTGCTAGAAAACCGAAACAGAAAGCAGAGACCACGAACCCCCGACAGCCCTCCTAGAACGCAAAGACAACCCCAAGAGTGAGGCAACAAAGCCGATCAAAGGAAGAACTCAATCGCTCATCAGGAGGAAGAAAAGCGTCGACCGAGGTTCAGCAGATTCTCCTCAGCCCACCGCAAACCTTGAGATTTATCCACCTTCCCAAAAGAGATTGCCCAATCCAAAGCATCCCTCAGCACCTTACGAGTGACGATCCTAGCGTGCAAGCGAGCATCTCTGAATACTCTTCTATTTCTCTCCAACCAGATCTGCCAGCACAAAGAGTGAAGAAGTCCGAAGCAAACCCAACTGTTAACACTGGAAGCAGGACAAGAAGGCCACTCTCGAATCATGGATATAATGTCTCTACTTGGGCCTGTAGAAAGACCACAGACCCTTCTTGAAGCACTCCACACGTCCCTAGCAAACTCACAATGGGAGAAAATGTGATCGATGTTCTCCTCCTCTTTGCCGCAGAGCTCACATCTGTTGGCAAGCTGCCAGCCCCTGGCCTTCAAGTTGTCGATGGTGAGAATTCTCTTCTGCACCACTAGCCAAACAAAAAAGCAGATTTTTGTCGGCACAATCTGCCTCCACACAGACTCATCCGGGAACTCCGAAGCTCCGCTGAACTTGCCATCCACCAAGTACCTGTACATAGAACGAACAGAAAAAGATCCATCCACATCGGGCAGCCAAGTAGGCCTAGAAGGCCCACTCGACACACAACTGGCTCCTCTCGAATTAAGCAAGTTCAAAAGCTCCACTCTCTCCCTATTCGCTCCTCCCCTAAGATCAAAAGACAAAGGAACATTCCAAATGACAGAGTTACCTGAGAGGGACGCGGCGTGCGAGACCCTGGCGTTCAGAGAGCTAGAGGCAACAGCAACTCTCGGGAATTTCTCAGCAAGAACCACTTCTGGAATCCAGCTATCATACCAGAAGGAAACCCAAGCACCATTACCAGCATCAATATTAGCCATCTTCCAAAAATCATCATACTCTTTGGAGATATTTGCCCAAACTGAGCCTGAGAATCCCTGACGGCATCTCACAGTGCGCCAAACAGAGTGCTGACTAGGGAACTTAATGCTGATCAACTCCCTCCACCAACTATTGCCCTCATTGGCGTACCGCCACAACCACTTCCCTAACATAGCCCTATTAAAGGAATCAAGGTCAATGATCCCAAGGCCACCCCGCGAGATAGGAGCTTTGCAGATATCCCATCTAACCAAAGCAAATTTCTTAGTATCACCCGAACCGCTCCACAAAAACCTTTTTTGAACACCCTCCAATCTTTTCACCACAGAAGAACGAGCACGAAGAAGAGAGAAGAAATAAACCGGTTGACTCGAGAGCACAGCCTTGATCAAAGTTAATCTGCCTCCAAGGGGAAGATATTTACCTTTCCAACCATCGAGCCTCTTCTGATATTTGTCCACAACTGAGTCCCACACCGAGATAGCATTAGGATTTGCGCCAAGAGGGAACCCCAGATACTTGGAAGGCTCCCCACTCCAATTGCACCCAAAGCTAGAAGCAAAAAACTCAGGGTTTGGGATGTCCCCGACTGTGAACATCACCGATTTCTCCAAGTTAATCCTGAGGCCAGTGACCGCCTGGAAGCAAACCAGAGTAGCTAGAATATTAAGAACCTGATTATACTCCGCGTCGCAAAAGATTAATGTGTCGTCTGCAAACAACAAGTGAGTCACCTCTCCCCCACCATTCTCCTCGTTCATAAAGAAACCAGAAATCTTCCCACTGCTCCTAATCCCAGAGTATGTTAATAATAACAAATGAAATATTCTAACTGTAATTAACATTCTCCATTTCGATTGTTTGCATGACAATACAGCAGCAGGCACATCTCAGTTTCAGCATATCTCACCAAAAATTCTGTCAAAATCGTTTCTTTGGTTTGAATAAATCATAATTCATCATGGAGGTTTACCAGTCGAAGCTTCTATTGGTGTTCACTGTCCAACTGTCCATTGCTGCTCTGCCTCTGCCTCTGCCTCGCGCATCTCCGTCTAAATGATAACCTGAATACCCACTATGGAGCATTTGGAGGGGGATTTGGATACCGTCCATGAATGTATTTTCTACCAAATCGCTGGGGAAGATACATCCCAACCTTCACCCATGTATATAATAGTGGATTGCATCCCTTTAAGAGATCAAGTCCAAAAGAGCTCCAAGTTGTGGACCAATAAAATGGGTCGTAATTTTGCTTATTCTAGCGCAGTGGAAGCTCCCTTTGGGGAATTTAACTAGATGAGCCCATCGAGCAATTATCAAGCTATGCTCGAGTTGAGCGAGTTGCTAATTTATTTCACGAGTTGAGTTTCAAGCTCGAGTTGCTAAGTTATTTTACGAGTTGAGTTCAAGCTTGAAAAGTCAAAAGCTCGTGATGAGTTCGAGATGGGAATTGGGTCATCCAGGAAGTATAAAATTGTTTAATAAAAAAAATATATGAATTAATGTTTATGATAAAATTCTGGACAAGGCACTAATATTATAAAAAACAGTTTGTGGGAGATGAGAATCGGGCTTAATAATAAAGATTTGTTAACAACAGCTTGTGGGAGATGAGAATCAGACTTAATAATAAAGCTTTATAAACATTAGCTTGTGGGTGATGGGAATCAGGCTTAATAATAAAGCTTGTCAAAGATGAGAATCAAGCATTGGAACATTGATGCATCGAACTGGGGGAATTTCCTCTCCTTAGACAATTAATTGAAAACATTGTGATAATCAAATTGATAATTAATTAAACTCTTAAACTATCATAAGTAAACATTGTAATAAGCTTTCTCTCTCCTTTCTCTTCCGAAAAAGAAATTGAACACAAAATTTCTCTCTTATTTGTCTTTCCATAAATAAAAAACAGCTAAACTTCTCACATTTTCTCTTCCTATAAATAAAAATCACCAAAATTTCCCTTCTTTATTTTTCCAACATTTGAAGCACCAAATTTTCCTGCTCTTTTTTCACCAAAAAGTTGAAAACACTATAATTTCTCACTTCTTTTTCTTCATACAAACCAAAGCAACAAAACTCCCTCTTCTTTCTTTTCCCAAAAATTCAAGCACTAAATTTCTCTATTCTTTTTTTCCCCAAAAGTTGAAAACACCAAAATTTCCCACTTTTTCCTCTTCATATAAATTAAAGCACTAAAGATCCCTCTCCTTTCATTTTCCAAAAATTTAAGCACCGAATTTTCCTCTTCTTTTTATTTCCAAAAGGTTGAAAACACAAAATTTCCCACTTCTTTTTCTTTATGCAAATCAAAAGCACCAATACTTCCCTTTCTTTTATTAAAAATACATAATTTCAACTCATTTCATTTTTTGAACTTTCCTTTATAAAATGAAAAAATAGTTTTACTTAGACTTACAACAAACAAACTTCATTTTGAAAGACCATAAAATATATAATATAGTAATTATTCTAGTCAATTGGGTTCGGGTTAATCGGGTTAATAGGGTTGTGGGCTAGTTAGGTTACGGGTTAATCGGGTCATGAGTCAATCAGGTTGCGGGTTTGAGGGGTTGCGGGTCAATGACTTTTAGTCAATTCGGGTTATGGTCGGGTTGCGGGTCGGATTAATCGGGCGGGTTAGTCGGGTCGGGTTCTGTTTTGACACCAATACACACACATACCATTATTATTAAACACCTCATTCTACCAAAGGTAAGATAGCCTACGGTAAAGCTGGCGCGACAGTGAAGGTTTGGGAGTTGCAGATCCCAGGTTCGAATCCAAGCGAGGCCCGCTGGTGTTCCCGGAGGTACAAGGCTGCTGGGGCGAAGCCCCGTTGGCTCGAATTTAATTGCAGGTGGCCCCGAGGTTTAGTAGGACCCGCTGGTGTTCCCGGAGGTACAAGGCTGCTGGGGCGAAGCCCCGTTGGCTCGAATTTGATTGCAGGTGGCTCCGAGGTTTAGTAGGACCCGCTGTCACAAAGTGGCATGTGAGACTGAGGTTCCTGGGTAATAAAAAAACACCTCATTGTAATATGTCGTTCAATATTATAAACTATTTAATTTAGGGGTGTTGTGATTGTTTTCTTGAGATTGTTATTACACATGTATTGTGATTGTTTTCACAGGTCGCATTACGTAAAATACAATAGTCATTGCGTAATGGCTACGTAAAGTGTCCTTATCTTATGTAACAGTTATAATTAACTATTTTTATCAATTTCTTAGGATTTTTACGTGATTGTGATGATTTTAAGCTATGATGTACGTTCAGCAAAAATAATTACTACATATTTGGAATGATATATGCTTGACATTTCAGGTTAAATTTTTTGGCGTGCTTTATTGATTTATTATATATCTTTCTCACAACATAGAAGTTTTTACTTCCCATTTGATAACTAAATAAAATTAGGCGAAAAATGTATTGATATTAACAATAATCCGGCCAACGGGCCGGGCACTCAGCTAGTGAAGAATTGGAAGAAAAACTTAAATACGTGTGAACGCACAAACCAGTGAAAACAGAATGCTAAAAAAAATTGGTGAATCGAGCCCATCACCCGTTGGAAATAAAGAAGGGTTAAGAAATTTACCACCAGACTACATGCAATTAACCTAAATTGGTTTGATACAAATATTATTTTTAAAATAGACCCTGCTTGATGTTAAGCCAGCCCCTGCCTGATGTTAGCCAATCCTATATACGGATGATAGTTCAAGCTAGAGTTTGGTTATGTTTCTATTGACTCGATGGAGTTTTTGGTATGTTTATTGATCCTTCAATTCAAGATGCTTAATTTAATTTGAAGCTCAAAAGCAGGGGGGAAAATGAGCGGCCCTTTTGAGTAGATAATGCCATAATTTGCTTTTAATATTGCTTTTTCATACAAACACAGTGCTGCATAGCTTTACTTAAAGCCAAAAGAGAAAGGTGGATGGAAGGAAGCAGGAAAAAACAAAGCGGAATACCCATCATCAGGTCTCTAACTTCATTGTGTTTTTCAGCAATCAGAGGAAAAAAAGAAAGAAATTGAATGGCTTGACAGTTAAAGAAGAGAAAAGATAGATAATTATAAATCATCGAATGAGTTAAAATGACATATTTTTATGTTTGTTTTTAACGATCAATCATTAAGAGGAAAACTATAAGATAGAGTCGTGTGCTCCAACCAATTCAGCAAATATTCGTAGGTGAAGATAACCTCGAAGATACACGAAAGAGTACCCTTCTCGAGAAAGATAAACATATCACCTTTCTCTCTCTTGCTTTCACTTTGCTACACTTCTTTTTGTGCCCAAACACTAGAGCTAGATTGATTTAGCCCTCAACTCATTGTTTCTCTCTTTATGGATCACTTTTGGTTATAGTTATTGTGTGATTAAAAAAAAAAAGAGCAACTGTTATCTATTGGTGAGAAAGGAGAGAGTACAGGAAAAAATGGTTTCTTAGTTAGGGTAGCTAGGGTGTGTTCTAAGCAACTTATTGATTCTCTACTTTCATTCAAACACTGCTGCTTTTTCTAGCAATATTAATTTTTTGCCTGCTGGGGAATGGAATAATGCTTTGTTTGTTCAAAAATTATTTGGTGGCACCTTTGGATGTCTTTTTAGGCTAGCAAAAGATAAAAGCTTTTTGACTGGAACCGCTAACTATACCAGACCCACTGAAAGAATAATCAGTTTGGGGAAGATTTTGGATTATAGTCTTTATTAAGGCTTTTTCTGTGGTGTTTTGTTTTTTTGGGTCCTACTGATCATCTAGTACACATGAAATTCATACATTGGTATTGTTTGTTTCCCATTAATGAGAGAGCCTTTTGGGTTCTAAAGATGTGCCTTTTTTTATACTTGGATGGTCGAGATTGAAAGTACTGTTGATCACCTGTTCTGTTTTAAGACCTGATTCAGTAGGAGCTGTTTGAACTTCTGAAAATTTTATTATTATTTTTGTTGTCATCGTGGTCTAGAATGATGAATTCTTATTGAGAGTAAATGAAAAATACATAGATCAAGAGGGGCAATAACCCTCCTTCAGTCATCCTGATAACAAAACTTAACAAGCGTTGACCACATTTCAAAAGAATTGCCCGTAGAAAAACACTCTATGAAAATAACCAATATGTATCTCGTACTACGCCATCTGTATGATTTTCTCATACAACACGTCCAAACCATTAATTCGTCGCTCGATGAGAGCTTTTGATGAGTGGGAAGCCATGTCTCAGTGGAGTAACATATGTTCTAATCTAGATAGTATCTTGCAGTCGAGATTGATGAGAGTCTCCAAACACCATCTTGTTTCCCTCCATCGTCCAACCAAACCTCCCAAGAGACAACAAATGGAAACAACTCAGCGAATTATGCCCAGAGGGATTTCCTTAGGTCAAATTGGTATCTTCTCTCTAGCTCATTAGATGTATAGAACCCTACACGGTCGTTTCATGTCTCCTTGCTTTTTTGCTTTATGATGTATGAAAATTTTATGTGTTTCGCCATCTTTGGTTTTCTCAAACAAAAGGCGAATGAATGAGAAACATTCCTTTGATCATGATATTGATTATCATTCTCCGCAAAAGACACCATGGATCCATAGTACTCTTGAATCCACTTTCTCTGTTATTCATGATTGTTAGCATATAAAATTAAAGCATATGATCATTTCTCTTCTTCCATATTCTCTTCCTCATCCTTTTCCTCTTTATCTTTCTACTATTCTTCAGCCTTACAAGTGTTTTTATGACTTGCTGCCCCCTCTCTTTAGCTAGCTTTCCCTCTTCTCGATCTCAAAGAAGGCTTTACATACATACATAACCGGTAAAACCAAGAAGTAGATTTTGGGAGGGAATTATCGCAGTCTGTATAAAACTGGTTAAATAAGTGGAGAAGATAATTGATTGAGGAATGAAAGGATATATCCAGATGATCTCTCTCGTTTACTGTGTGTGTTTGAATATATGTCTATTGTATGGTTTTTGTTTTTGGGGATCATTCTGTTGAAAGAATCTGGTGTACATGGATTCATTATATTCATTCGAGGTATATCGAGCTAGCTAGCTCTCCTTTCTATGCAGCAAGGCACGCTAGCTATGGCGAATATATATGTGCCCACTTCCCATATTGTAACAGCCACCCTCTTTAATCTTTATATCGTCATCCCACCTCAAAATTAAAGCGCTCTCTCTCTCTAGCTAGTGACCAAACTCCGCAGTAAATAATAAAAGATGCAGTGATCCAAGGCTTCTCCACTCCTAGCTAGGAATGGCAATGGACAGATTCGGGACTGGATATTTCCATACCAATATCATTCTGTCGCAGGTTAAATTCAGATGTGGTAATTTATATGGGGTGTGAGTCAGGACATGTCGACTTATATGAGTATGTAACTTAAAAAGAAAGCAAAATATTTAGTTTTTCCATTATACTCCCATGAAACAAGTTATAATATTGTAAATGTAATTAAAATATTCCAGAAGTTGAGATTCTAGCATATCTACAACTTTATTATAATGAGATAATAAAAGTAACTTTTAAGTAATTTGTGTAAAATTACGTGTAATTTAAGCAAAAACGAATAAGAATGAGGCAATTCAAGACACGTCAGGGCGAGAAGAGTACCCATGTCCAATGACATAGCCATTCACTTAAGGTGGATCCAAAATAAAATTAAAAATATAAAAAATAATTTTTTATTAATATTCAAATGACTCACTATCATTTTTTTAGGAAATTCCTACAATACCTTCAAGTTATGGTAACTTGATGTTTTTGACCTGCTATAACAGGTTTCACAAGTCGCATTACGTAAAATACAATAGGCATTACGTAATGGTTACGTAATGTGTGTTTATCTTACGTAATAGTTAAAAAATGTCATTACGGAAACCTTACGTAATAGAGACTCATTTTACGTAATGAATATTAACCTTTCGTTACGTAATCTGTTGAATCATTACGGAAGACTTACGTAACACTTCTAATTTAACTGTTACGTAAGAAATAACTATCGTTACGTAACATTTACGTAATAGATGCATAGTTTACGTAACAGTTGTAAAGTGGCATTACGGAAGCCTTACGTAATGTGGTAAGTCATTACGGAAGTCTTACGTAACACTTCTAATTTAACTGTTACGTAAGAAATAACCTTCGTTACATAACCTTTACGTAATGAGCGTGTATTTTATGTAACAGTTGTAAAATGTCATTACGGAAGCCTTATGTAATAGACGATGCTTTTACGTAATGAATATTAACCTAGCATTACGTAAAATGATAAGTCGTTACGGAAACCTTCCGTAACGCTTCTAGTTTAACTGTTACGTAAGACTAACAAGCATTACGTACTTGTTACGTAATAAACATTAGTTTTACGTAACACGACCTATAAAACCTGCTATAGCAGGTCAAAAACGTCAAGTTATAGTAACTTCAAGGCATGGTAGGAAGTCCCCATTTTTTTATAGTTTGTTAACATATTTTCATTTGAGGTTGGAAAATTTGATACTACATTCAAAATTTGTAAATTTTCAGTAAGAAATTAGAGACACATTTTTATTGTGAAATTTAGAGTTAATTATATGATATGTAAGGTTAATGCGTGCCACAAAATTCTCTATGGTTTATTGATAGACAAGTAACAACATGAACCTGAAGTATAGGGATCGAGTATTATGAATTGTATACAATTGTTGTTACTTTTTAGTGTCCTTATCTAGAGCCGAGGTGGATCTCGGAACCCATCCTATTGCAAGATGGCTTCCCCACTGCCCATGTCTATCATGACTTACCTGCGAAACCGATATTATCAAAAATAAATCAAACAAATCAAGTAGAACGGACCAGATCGAAATTGTCATCCACATCCCTCTCCTTTTTCCTTGTCTCTCTCCCTCTGATCTACACGATCGAGGACTTGACTTGAGTTACGTACAAGCTGAAGCATTATTACCCATTAATCAAATGTTTGTTTGAATGGAGAGCCGGGAATCGATAGCCATGCACGTTGAGGTCGTAGTGATTACGAACGAAGGGTCTTGTGCGTGACGATTGTCTGTTTGTGTAAGATTCCTGCCTGTGCCTGAGGAAATTAAATGATAGCAGCAGCAGAGCAGGAGCTGTCATACTGATTACGGGTTGAGGGAGATGAATGAATTGTCGATGCATGGCATGGGTTTTCTTTTTTGCTTTGATTCTGGAGGGAATTTACGAGTCGTAATCCCCATGCCATGCAATAATTAACACATCTTCATTTCATCTCATGGGCTTGCTTTTCTGTATATATATTATTCTTTGTTCGTGCTTTTTGTTTTGGGTTGGGGGAAGAGTTCCTTTTGTTCTTCGTAGTAGCCTAGTAGGGAAGGTGGCGAAGGGTAAAGAGAAAACCGTTCACAGTTCCCGATTCCTTTCCTTTGCATTCCCTTTCCCTTTCCTCACTAGTTAATTCTCAAAATATTGATTTTTTTAATTTACCACGAATATACAAAAAAATACAAATATAAAGCTGAGTTGCCTTTGATACTCTCTGCTGCTTCAAATCTGCATTCCTCTCCTTCTGCTTTGTCACCACATGCATTCCACTTTCCACTACTACAGCTACCCCATCCATCACCCTTTTTTTCACCCTCTCCCTCAAGAAAAGCACCTTAATCCCCTTAGCTTTCTCCCCCACAATATATTTCCACCAAACTTCCTTCTCATCTCCCCCTTCCCCTTCTTCCTCTCTTCCACCATGAATCCTACCACCTAACAAAAAAACCCATCACACTCTCCCCAAACCAACAAACAACCAAAAAAAAAAATGAGAACAGGAACTTGCACAGTGCAACAAGCCCTAACCACCGAGGCAGCCACGGTCGTGAAACAGGCCGTGACCCTAGCCAGAAGAAGGGGTCACACGCAGGTGACCCCTCTCCACGTGGCCAGCACCATGCTGGCCGCGTCCAGTACTGAAGGGCTCCTACGAGCCGCGTGCCTCCAGTACTCCCACAACCACCCTCTCCAGTGTCGAGCCCTCGAGCTATGCTTCAACGTCGCCCTCAACCGCCTCCCCGCCGCCTCCCCTCACCACCACCATCACCAATTACCACAATACCCTTCCATCTCCAACGCCCTCGTGGCCGCCTTCAAGCGGGCCCAGGCCCACCAGCGTCGCGGCTCCTCCGTCGAGACCCAGCAGCAGCCATTGCTCGCGGTGAAGATCGAGCTAGAGCAGCTCGTCGTGTCCATCCTCGACGATCCCAGCGTCAGTAGGGTTATGAGGGAGGCCGGGTTCTCCAGCACCCAAGTCAAGAGCAACGTCGAGCAGGCCGTTTTTTCTCAACAGAACGATGGTAAAACGACTACCAAGGAGAACAAGTTGGTGGTTGATAATGATCAAGATGTCACGAGTGTGATCGAGAGTTTGGTGAACGTGTCGAGATCGAGCCGGCGAGGAGTGGTGGTAGTTGGAGAGAGTGTTACTACGGCGGAAGATGTGGTGAAAGGAGTGATGGAAAGAGTTGAGAAGGGAGAGGCCGCAGTGCCTGAGGTTTTGCGGGGAGTTGAGTTTGTGTCTATACCAGCCATGTCTTCTTTTGGGCAGTTTTCCGACGAGCTTAAGGTGGCTGTGAGAGGGCATATGGAGAAAGGAAGAGGGGTGGTTTTGAATTTGGGGGATCTGAAATGGGCAACCGATGATGATGATGAGGGAAGGTCGTGGATGGAGCACTTGATCAGGGAGCTTGGGAAATTGAGATGTAATGATGATTGTGAGAGAAGGTTGTGGATGGTGGGGGTTGCGACTTTTCAAACCTACGCCAAGTGTAAATCGTCGGTGGAAGCTGTCTGGGGGCTTGGTCCAGTGATAATACCTGCGGGGATCCTGCGTTTGAGTCTCGTTGCTGCGACAGACAGGTAAAAGTTTACTAGCTGGTGATGAGATTCGTTCATCGGTTGCTACTTTCTAGTGTTTTTAGTAAAGTTGCATATTTGAACATTAGTTCCCTCTTTCTGGGTATTGAAGTTTAAAACTTTGAACTTTCTCGTACTTTACCGATTACTAAATAAAGCAACATCCATTCAGTTCAATGTACTAAAAGGCAGGAAGAAAAGATTACATCCTGCCTTTTTTCAACTTTAGATCTTACTTCAGATTTAAGTTTTTAAACCCAGAGTCGTGTTAACTTAGTAGCAAGGAAAAGGTAGATGAGAAAATTATAAATATTCATATTTTCATTCGTGGTCTTTCATACTTATCTCTTTCCTTCCTTGTTCTTTTCAGTGAGTTACAAACCCAGTCAACAGTCAACATTAACAACACTACCAAAAGCGAGAATGTTGGACGGTCAAGCTCGATGATTATCCAAGAAAGGGAAGAAGAGAACAAACAACAACAACACAACCTAAACTGCAACGGTTATGGCTATGGTGATTGTTCTTTATGCAGTAATTCTGACTCACCAACTTCCTCCAACCTCCCTGCATGGCTCCAACCTTACAAGACCCATAATAATCATGATCAGGTAATTATTTCTCTTCTGTAATGATAGATATGCATGCATGCTACATATCCACAACCGAGGTCTGTCTTTTTTTACTTCATTAGTAAGAAAACATAATCACATTCATCACCTTTTTTCAATATGAAATCCGGGTCATGACCCACTTCTCTATTGTTCTTGGTCACTACAAATGTCACATCTTTCAAGTAATTCTTTCTATAAACAAATGAAGAACGTAACTCATTCCCTCCACTAACTCTCTTTCTCTCTTCTTGTCAATATAGGATTCAATGTCCATCAAAGATCTTTGCAAGAAGTGGAACTCATCACCAAACCTACAGATAACATCCGATGATCATCACTACCACCACAATTACCACACTACTAATACTCGAATGAAGAGTCTCACATTTGCTTCATCACTAGTCTCATCTTCACCTCCCACCTCCATCTCCTACCTCGACCCAACCAGCTTCCACCACCATCAATCACCATGGAAGAGTTCTAGTACCACCACCACATCAACATCACTCGACCCGATCCCTCATCATCGCCATAACTTCTGGGCCACCAAAACGCTTCTCGTCGACCAGTACCACCACAAGCCATCCACAGTGGACCCCGCGTTACGCGTATACATCCCAAACTACCCTAATAACAAACACCACCATCACCAATTTTTCTCCTCATCAAACCCTAACTCCCTCTCCACCACCCCTAACTCAACCTCCTCCAGCGACAACACCACCGAGTTCTCCACCCACCGCTTCAACTCACTCAACTCGGAGAACCTCAAAACCCTATGCACCGCAATGGAGACCAAAGTCCCCCGACAACGACACATCATCCCCGACATCGCCACCACCATCCTCCAATGCCGCTCCGGCATGGTCAGCAGAAGGCGGCACTCCTCAAATGCCAACAAGGAGGACACGTGGCTGTTCTTCCAAGGCGTTGACGTGGAAGCCAAGGAAGAAATCGCCAAGGAGATTGCCAAGCTAGTGTTCGGCTCCCACCATAGATTTGTCTCCATATCGATGAGCAACTTCTCGGAGGATAGCTACATTTGCTCTTCGAGAAGCTCGTGCAAGAGAGGGAGAGTAGAGGACGAGAAGAGCTACGTGGAGAGGTTTGCGGAGGCCGTGGGGAGAGACCCACGTAGGGTTTTTTTCGTGGAGGACGTGGAGCAGGCGGATTACTGCTCGCAAGTAGGGTTCAAGAGGGCGATGGAGAGCGGGAGAGTAGTGAGGAGAAGGAACAGTAAACACGGGCTGGGACAAAACACGAGCAACGAAGGTGGTGATGATGATGTTGATGAAGAAGAAGAGGTAGGGCTAGAGGACGCCATTGTGATTCTGAGCTGCGAGGAGAGCTTCAGTTGTAGATCGTCTAGAGCTTGTTCGCCCACGTCGAAGCAGAAGGTGATGAACGAAGGAGATGAGGGAGAGAGCCCATGCTTATCGTTGGATTTGAACATTTGTGTTGAAGAAGAAGATGGTGATGGGGATGAAGTTGAGTTGATTGATGAGATTGGGTTACTGGAGTTGGTTGATCGACGGATTATGTTCAAGCTACCTCGGGAGGAAGATGGGTTGTGATGATGTGTCGTATTTGGAATCTTTTTATATTTTCTATAGGTTTTCTTTTAGGGGGTTAATGGAGGAGGGGAATATGTGTACAACAAGTCATGTCACGATCGGTCAGATGGTTTTGGGGGGTTGGGGGGGAAATTCTCTTTTTGATCAAAGTTGTTGTTTGGTTCTTTGGATGGGGGGATATTTGGGTCTATAGATATTCTGATTCCTGTTTTAGTTGGAGAAGCATTTTTAGTCTTTATGGGAGGGTAGGGTTTGGTAGAATATATACGCAGGTATTGTGGGGGGAGATGGGAACTAGTTATGAATTATGATAGATCAACTTCTTAATGTTTGTGTAAAATAAGAATGTAAATTACTAATTCCTCCTTTTTTATTATTTTTTTATATATAACTATAGTGCTTTATGAGCATTGTAAATTCCTCGAGCATATATAATATTTCATAACCAATTAGGATCCAACAAGAGAATTAATTATAAAATAATGAAACATGAAAATAATAAGGGTTAGGTTATAATAAAAAACAGTATGTTATGTAGCATTACAAAATCACATATGGATGGTTGAGATTGGAGAGGGTGCGATCTAATTAATAGTCACTTTGGCATAGGGATAATGAGAGAAAGTAAGGGTTTGGGGGACTTATGAGCGGATTTTTCGGGGCTAACATGGATCTCTAGGTGACAGGTAATTCACTTTTCAAATATCCAACGAATCTTCAATGATCGATATCCAATTCGTTTTATTTTGGATTTCAAAAATTTTATTTAAAATATCATCTTTTTTGTGCTCGCCAAGTTGATATCCATTTTGATATTTTGGAGCAAAAATTAATTTCATCTTATCATTGTCATATCATCATATTATCACTATGGTAATATAATAGTATGACAATCATATGATGGTATTTTCAGTCTTACCAATTACCATAGTGTGGTAAGATCATTGTAAGGCGGTGGTTAGATGGTATGAAGTTTTATCTTTGAAAAATAAATTTTGAAATCATTATATTACTATCATATCATGATATTATCATATTATCGTAGAGATAATATCATGATATGAGAGTGATATAATTGTGCAGTCGGTCTTAGCATAGTGGTAATATCATGATATGATAATGACTAAATTATAAGAAACATGTATATTGAGGGTTAATTTTTTTTTTTTGCTCATGATATAACAATTTGGATATCATTGTATATCATAAGTCATGGATTCTATCTATGCAACAAAAAGACAATCAAATTCAAATTAAAACAAAGAAGATATGACAGATATAAGATTTCAGTAAACATATGTTTCAAAAGAAAATTGTTCGACCGGATGAAAAAAAATTGGTCGACTTACCCTTTTCTCAAGGTTCAAAACCGGATGAAAATGTCCTTAATTAGGATTTGGTCCACCAAGCGATCATCACTACATAGGTAACTAATATCTTATTTTAGGACCAATGTCCATCTCCTATGGAAAACAAACCAATATGTTTGTTCTCATTGATATAATTTTTCGTAGCCGTGCCTACGGATTCACGTTGGAGCAGGCACTTCAATATTGGGAAGTACTAATTAACGCCCTATGTTTTTAAAATTTGTCGCCCTAATTTTGCAATTTGACGTTTTTGCCACACGCTTTTATTCCCAATATATAACAAATCTTCGCCCTAGATTCTGCACCGTCACCGCCGTTCGCCTGGGAGTCGCTGTCGCCACCGCAATTGCCTTCCGCTGCGCTGCTCGATCCGCCTCGTCGACGTCACCATCGCTCTAATCCCATCCGGCCCAATTCACACCGGTGGAATTCTCTCTCCAACTCACGAAGTTCTCTTCTCCACCTCCCCTTCTGTCCCGCTCAAGGACGAAGAAGATGAGAAAGATCCATTGTTCTGCTTTGACGGTCGCGCGCCTGCTCTGATTCTTGGTCCGTCCCGTCGTCGCCGCCATGCCTGCTCGGTGCGCCAATCGGGTTCCATCGTCTATGATGCTGCTGCCGAGCGATGGTGAGGAGGAAGAAATAACAGCTCGGTCCGACCCGGCCGTCGCTCTATTTCTTCTTCGTCCTTGAGAGGAGTAGTAGCGGAGGAGAATTCCGCCGGCGACGAGCAGACGGATTTAGGGCCATGGATTGGGGGCGACGAGCAGAGGGAGGAATCTTCAACGGCGACGAGCAGAGGGCGTGGGCCCGGCAACGAGCAGAGCCAAGCTGGGGATTAGGGCGATGGATTGGGGGCGTGGGTGAAGAGTCTTTCGTCGGCGACGAACAGAGGGCGTTGGAGGGGCGACGAGCAGTTGGGGCGCTAGGGATTAGGGTGATGATTGGGGCGACCCGCGACCGTTCTAGAAATTGGGGGTAGAATTGTCTGTTTGGTTAATTTAGGGCGAAATTTTTAAAAAGTTAGGGCGTTAAATAGGAATCCAGTAAAATAACACCAAGGTGTTAAAACCATTTATCGTAATGAATAATGATAAATGATCATACTACCATTACGGATGCTCAATTATGCAAACAACCTCATTTCTTACGCATCAGAACTCGTCCCCATTTTTTTTTTTTCCTAACAAAACGTTATTTTTATTGTTCTGCATTTTTCATATACTCAAAGAGAGATCGTTGTAATTGTCTGATTCGCCTTCATTTATCTTGTCCTTTTGCAGGCAAAGCTTGGAAGTATTGTGCCGCTGGCCGCCGTTGGATCTGATGCCGGTGAAATCAACATACACATAATTAAACATCGCGATTATACGACAGATTAATTAACTGATCATACAAGCTCAATTAATTGATTGAGATTAAGTTTGTACCTGGCTGCTTTTCTTCCTTCTATCCCATGAAACGTCCAGCCGCAACATTATGGAAAGCTCTCGAATCGGTTCGATGACGATGCGAGACCGTTCGTCAAAACAATAAATTACTAAAATGAAGAAAATTAGTGAGAAAAATATAATTTTATGAAAATATTATATATGCATGATAAATATTAAATATGTTAAGAAAAATAATGATAATTTTTAAACAAAATATATATGCATGTGTATAATCAAACATAAGAAAGTGCTAATGGCATTGGTTCACACAATCATCTAATTTTTGTTGGGCCTAACCCCATGGGGTTGGTTTTACAATGCGAAGATTTTAGAAAAGAGTATGTGTCACATACGTTTTGAAGCCCAGCCCGTGATTTTTTGAATTCTATATATATTTAAGGGAGCAGAAAGAGTACAATACTCCGGTCTACAAAACTCGATTGTATCATCATATCACGATTCACGACATCATGATACGATGATACAATACGCCTAACTAACCTATAAAATTTTCTCTTATCCTAAGCAATCTAATTGGCCATTTTGGATGAAAATATGGACGAAAATACATGGCATAGTCGTTTTGTTATATCTTGATACTTATTCGACCTTTTTATTACATTTTAAACGTTTCGGATCATTTTATTGTTGGCCCAAATCTATGTGAGCACTTTGATAATAACAAAAAAATGGTTCAATACGTCATCTCAATCCCATAGTGAAATGCGGGCCGCATGCCTAGCATATATATATATAATCAAATTTTAGTTTAGATATCCCTAGCAAATTGAAGAAATAAATTGAAGGAATAAATCGCGTTCATGTTGGTTTGAATCGGGTGCAAACGCATTTTACGCATCAAACTTTCAGAATCACAAATTTTAAACATATAGCCGGGGGCATGTGGTTTGTGTCTTGTCATAAGTTTGAGTGAAAAATAGTACACCTTAGGTATGCTTATGCAAGAGATCAAACGCACCATTTGTCGATACACTAAACCTCACCTCTTGTTATATAATTTTCTCACTCACCCTATCCGATTTTTGCCCGCAACTGTAAAACCTGAAGTAACAACTTCCGTTATTTCCTACTCGAAACGGATCCACCAGCTTATTCGTTAGGGGTTGTTTGGATGGATCAATCTAGAACGTTTGGATGGATCAATTGTAAAACGAGACAATTTGACCAATTGTTTCATTTTACAAAACGAGTCATTTAAAACGAGTCAATTCAGATTACCTGCCCCCACCCCAGACAATTGTAATTGACTCAAAATGAGTCAATTCAGAATTCCTAGCCCAAATTGCTTCATCCAAATTTTCTGCTGCCAAACGGATCAATCTACCACAATTGACTCAAAACGAGACAATTGTGTCAGATTGATCCATTAGAATTCCTCATCCAAACGACACCTTGATCAATTGTCTCGTTTTATAAATGAGGCAATTAAAACGAGTTAATTCAAATTACCTGCCCCCACCTCAGGTAATTGAAATTGACTCAAAACGGATCAATTCAAAATACATCAGACAGATTGATCCATCCAAATTTTTTATTGGCAAACGAGACAATTGTGTCAAATTGATCCGTTACAATTTCTCGTCCAAACGACACCTTATATAATTTGGGCCAAGTTCTTTTCTGTTTTGGACCATTCTGGTTAACTGAGTTGAAGCGCGAGTTGACGCGGACCGGCAGGAAACAGAAAAGTCATTGATTCCTCCCTCTATTCTCTACCATTCATTTTCAAGTACCCACGCAGAGCGTGTAGCCGTGTACCGTAGGAAATTACACCCGAAATGAACAAAGAAAAAGTTGTGAGAACTTGCAATTGTGATTCTCATTAGATTGATCAGTGGGATTTAATACCCACTCTTAAACAGAAAGTAACCCACGTAGCCTACAAAGGAGGAACAGCTTAGTGGGTTTAACAACTAACAATAATACATAATTAATTAAATGAAATAGTATCCTTATCACGCCCCCGCAAGACGGTGGTGGGAACAACGCCGATCTTGGAACGAAGAAGCTGGAAGCGCGTAACAGGAAGTGGTTTGGTGAGGGAGTCCGCCAATTGATGAGCAGTAGGAATGTGGCGGACATGAAGAGCACCATCTTGGACAAGATCACGAACAAAGAGATAGTCTAGGGCCAAATGTTTCATGCGGGAATGGTGGATCGGATTTCCCGCGAAGTTTACGGCGCCAAGATTGTCGCAGTAGAGCGTCGGGGAAGAGGAGGGAGAGTGATGCAGCTCGCGTAGCAGATTTTGAACCCAAAGCAGTTCAGAAGTAGCATGAGCCAAGGCGCGATACTCGGCCTCAGTACTCGAGCGAGCGACTGAGCGTTGCTTCTTTGACTTCCATGAAATTAGGTTGCCGCCATAGTACACAAGATACGCCATAGTCGACGTACGATCATTGGGATCACCAGCCCAGTCCGAGTCAGCAAACGCAACAAGATCAGTGGAGACAGCGGGTTCGAGGCGCAGGCCGAGGGTGGAAGTGCCTTTGAGATACCGAAAAAGGCGCTTGACATGCTGCCAATGAAGAGTAGTAGGAGCATGCATAAACTGGGATAGTTTGTTCACGGCAAAGGCGATATCAGGACGAGTGCAGAGAAGATATTGGAGCGATCCAAGAGCCTGTTTGTACAATGTAGCATCGGCTGGTGGAGAGCCATCGACGAGACGGAGAATGGCCGACGAAGCAAGTGGAGTCGGCACCGGATGTGAATCATGCATAGCAAACCGATGTAACATATCATGAACATATTTGTGCTGGGATAGCACGTAACCAGTAGGAGTAGAATGAACCTCGATGCCCAAGAAGTAATTGACACGGCCAAGACCTTTGAGAGAGAACCGAGAGGCTAGGCGATCTTGAAACCGGCGGAGGGCGTGGCCATTATTCCCTGTCAATAGCAAATCGTCTACATATACTAGGAAATAGAGAGTGATACCCTGATGATGATAAATAAACAAGGACGCATCACACTTCGATTTGACAAAGCCCTCTTGTTCCAGAAAACACGACAGAGCCATGTACCAAGACCTCGGAGCCTGACGGAGGCCATAAATGGCCCGATTAAGCTTGCAGACATGATCGGGATGAGCATGATCACGAAAACCGGGAGGTTGATTCATATAAACCGTCTCCTGGAGAGAACCCTGTAGGAAAGCATTATTCACATCAAATTGAAAGATAGGCCACTGGTTAGATAGAGCAATGGTGAAGACAGTACGAATGGTGACTGGCTTCAACACCGGGCTAAATGTCTCATGGAAGTCAACCCCCGGTCGCTGAGTAAAGCCTTGGGCCACGAGACGGGCTTTGAACCGATCAACAGAACCATCCGGATTGCGTTTGATACGAAATACCCAACGCGAGCCCACAACATTATGACCAGCAGGACGGGGAACTAGAGTCCACGTGTTGTTGGCAAGTAAAGCCTGAAACTCGGCGGTCATGGCAGCACTCCATCGAGGATCAGCGATAGCTTGACGGAGCTGAGTAGGCTCAAAATCAATAGAACCAACCTGAGAAAGAAAAAGTTTCTTGGGCCGAAAAATACCATGCTGACTGCGAGTTATAGGGCGATGTAGAGACTTTACCGGTGGGGGTGGTTGCTGATTTTGCTGCGAGGAGGCAGCAGGGGACGCAGCTGGAGGAGAGCAGGGAGGCTGTCTATGAGCAGGTGATGATTGTGAAGCAGCAGGAGGAGTGGGAGCTGGCGGCAAGGATGGGCAAGTGGTGGAAGGCAGAGAGATCATGGTGAGGGGCGGAGAAGTGAGAGCAAGCCAATTTGAAGGGTCATATGAGGGAGTGGAAATGGATTTGATACCAGGAAAAAGTGACTCTTCAAAATGAACATGGCGAGATGTATAGAGTCGCCGATGGAGAGGATCGTAACAGTAGTAGGCACTTTGAGTAAGAGAGTAGCCGAGAAACACACATTGACGGGATCGCGGTGCTAGCTTATGAGGAGAATATGGACGTAACCAGGGATAGCAAGCACAACCAAAAACACGAAGCTTGTTGTAGTTAGGCGCCTCATTAAATAGAGAAAAATAGGGAGTAGCACCATGAAGCGATGAGGACGGTAAGCGATTTATGAGATAAATGGCGGCTTGAAAAGCATGAGACCAAAAGGCAAGAGGAAGGTGAGCAGTGTGAAGAAGGGTAAGACCTGTTTCAACGACATGTCGGTGTTTTCGTTCGGCGAGACCATTGTGCTGAGGAGTATGTGGTGGCGTCAATAGATGAGTGATGCCATGGGATTGAAAGAAAGAGCACAACTTTTGAAATTCACCACCACCATCACTATAGACACGTCGAATGGTAGTGTGGAAATAATTCTCAATCATGGCCTTATACGTGGTAAAAACACGATGAACATCAGATTTGCGAGATAGAGGGTAAAGCCATGTATAACGAGTGAAATGATCCACAATAACTAAATAGTATGAAAAATTATCATGGGAAACAACAGGAGAAGGCCCCCAAACATCCATGTATAATAAATCAAAAGGTCGAGAACTTGACAAACCGGTGACAGAGAAGGGTAGTTTATGACTCTTATGCAAAGAACATGAATCACAAGCAGAGTTTGAGAAAGACGAAGTAACTGGCAAAGAATGTTTACGAAGAACACGAGATAAAAGTTTGAAATGAGGATGCCCCAAGCGTTGATGCCACACAGCAGAGGAAGTCCGCGAAGCGGATAAAGCAAGTCGAACAGGTGAAGCTGCCGCTGGTAGCTCATAGACATCCCCCTTATTCTGGCCTCGCAGTAGATGCGCCCCCGTGGCTAGATCCTTCACAACAAAAAAATCAGAAAAAAATTCCACCGACACAGGATTAGTCTTGCACAACTGAGCAACAGAAAGCAATCGTCGTTTAATAGCCGGGACACAAAGCACATTCTGAAGAGCCAAGCGAGACATGCTGGAAGGTAAAAAAGAACTGCCTATATGTGTAATTTGCAGACCTGTACCATCTCCGATGAGGACTTCATCGGGGCCATTGTAATCAGTATAAAGAGATAGCTGACCAAGATCCGGAGTCATATGGTTGGTCGCGGCCGAGTCTACAAGCCAACCAGATGAGGACGGGGCAGCAATGGTGTGATGAGCCTGGGGTGGACCACGAATACGGAAGCAATCCTTGGCAGAATGGCCAGGACGGTCACAGAACTGGCAAACAAGGCGAGGACGGCCCAGGAGAGACGATGCAGGAGAAGCATACCCAGCAGAAGACCGGGACGGGGATGACGGACCAGAGGAGCGTGGACTGTAATTACGCCGGGCAGGAGAGGGACCACGAGAGCCACCAGCAGGGCGAGTGATAAACCGGCCAGGAGAACCTTGGCGACCACGGACAGAAGAGAACGCCGTGGTGGGAGCAGGTGGCTGGGCGAATCGGGCAGCAGCAAGGTCGGCCTCAAAATCAACCAACCGATCACGAAGATCTTCGAAATGAATAGGGTTGTCACGGGCACGGATGGCGGCGGCAATATGGTCATACGCTTCAGGGAGACCGCGGAGGACATAGAGAATGAGATCCTCATTTGTGACAGGAGCATTGATGAGGTCTAACTCGGCAGCAAAGGTGCGCATAGTTTGAAGATAGACCGCAACCGGTCGATTACCAAGAGTCTCACGCCCAAGCTTTTCTTTAAGATGAATGACACGTTGACGGGACTGGCTAGCGAACATACGCTCCAAGATTGTCCAGGCCTCATGGGAGGAGGGAGCAGAGGAAACATAGGGTGCAACAGCAGGAGCCATGGAAGCAAGAATGGCATGAAGAAGAAGCTGATCTTGCCTGTACCAGAGAGTGCGCTCGGCGGCAGGGGCTGTGGCAGCCGGCGCTGGATGGGAACCATCAAGAAACTTCAGAAGGTCGAGACCTCGTAGAAGGGTCAGGAGCTGTGCTCTCCAAGTCGGGAAATTGTCACCGTCGAGCTTAGTAGGTAATTGAGAGGCAGGATTGAGGGTGATAATGGTGGTTGTTTCGTTGACATTGATCACTGTTTCGCCAGACATATTGGAGCTTTGAAGAAAAGAAAAGCTGGAGCAGAAGAGAAGAATAGGTAGAGGGGAAGAAAAGAGGGCGGAAGATTGCCGTAGAAAAGGCTAGGGATTAGAAAAAAAAGAAATTGGCAGAGAGAAAGTAGGAAAGAAGATTTGCTGGTTAAGGAGATCTGAGCTGAGCTCTGATACCATGTGAGAACTTGCAATTGTGATTCTCATTAGATTGATCAGTGGGATTTAATACCCACTCTTAAACAGAAAGTAACCCACGTAGCCTACAAAGGAGGAACAGCTTAGTGGGTTTAACAACTAACAATAATACATAATTAATTAAATGAAATAGTATCCTTATCAAAAGTGAGGCCAATAAACTGCTGAAGCTGCACCAGCCCTTCGTTTCCTATCTTCAAAAACCAAGAAGAGGAAGAAAGAACAGAACTTCCAAAACCCCTGCAGAGCCTTTTCAGCTTCTCGAGTCAATCAGCTATGGCAGCAGCTTCTCCTCCTCCTCCTTCCTCTCCACCTGATCGCCATGACTCCTCGTCCTCCTACTCCGGAAGATGGGAGTACGATGTTTTCTTGTGTTTCAGAGGCGGCGACACACGACATGGTTTTACAAGCCACCTCATGGCTGCTCTCTCAGACAAGAAAATCAAAGCCTTCATCGACACCATGCTCCGGAAGACAGAGTCCATCGACGAGCTCCTCTCAGTCCTCCAAAGATCCACCCTTTCGATCGTGATTTTCTCCGAGAAGTTCGCGGATTCGCCCTGGTGCTTGGACGAGGTGGCCACGATTGTCCAAAGCATCGAGATATTCGGACACCGAGCGCTGCCGGTGTTCTACAAAGTTGGTTGGTCTGACGTGGCAGGGGACTCTGGCCGTTACTCTGCCATCATCGATGAAGAGCTTAAAGCGAGCTCTGAGGACAGCAAGAGATGGAAGGATGCTCTGAAAGCGGTGGCTAATCGTGCTGGACGTACTTCCTCTGCGATTCCGTGAGAACTCCTTCTCCCTCATCTATTACTAAGATCTTTTTTTTTTTTTTTTTTTATGAAGAATTACTAAGATCCTTATTCTACTTGCAATCATTAACATTCCTTATTTGATTCGCGCATTAGATGGTTTATTCAAATACTGATCTGTCTGTTTATATGAAGTTACATACGTGCTCTAATTGACGTAACTGCCATTTTCTGACTTTGGACTTAACTTTGTTTCCTATGTGTCTGTACATTGACTCTCAGAATCGAATCTGAATTGATTAAGGCGATCGTGGAAGATGTTCAGAAGCAACTGATCGACATGTCACCAATCATCAAGTCAGAAAACTTGGTTGGTATGGGTTCGCGCATTTTGGAGGTTGAGCAATTGCTTGCCATGGACGAACCAGATGATATTCGCATCATTGGGATATGGGGAATGGGTGGTTTAGGGAAAACCACGCTGGCCAAGGCTTGCTATGAAAGGATAGTTTCATCAACGAAAGACATCAAGCATCATTTCATCAGGAACATCAACCAAATTTGCGAAAACCAGCATGGGATTGATGGAATAGTGCACGAGCTCTATTCGAAAGTATTGTCCGAGAGAAATCTAAGTCATGAAGATTTGGATGTGCATTATATAAGAGCATGCCTTTCTCGCTCGAAGGTGTTCCTTGTTCTTGATAATGTGGAGACTCCACGCCAATTGGAGCAGCTACTTTTAGACGATGTCTTCAATCTCACCAGACTCTTTGCTGCCGGGAGCAGAATCATAGTGACAACAAGAAACAAAAAAGTGCTCCAAAATGCGAGGGCAAAGATGTATGGCATCAAGGGTTTGAATGATGATGAATCTATGCAACTCTTTAGTTCCCGTGCATTCAAGCAACAACATCCCCCATATGTTTGGATGCGCCTATCACGTCTTGCAATATCATACTGCAAGGGACACCCCTTGGCCATTAGAGTTTTGGGGAGTGCACTGTTCGACGAGGACGAAAATTACTGGGAGAGTTTCTTAAGTGGGTTGAGGCTGATTCGAAACCCTGAAATTGGTGTTATTTTCAGGAAAAGCTACGATCAAATGGGACACGATGAGCAGCGAGTGTTCTTGGATGTTGCTTGCTTCCACCACGGAACGTCAAGATCCATAGTGATACGCTACTTGGAAACCCTGTACCCAACCGCTCTTGCTAATGTGAAGGACCTAATTGATAAGTCCCTCTTAACTTGTGTTTCCAAAGAGGATGGAGAGAAGATTGAGGTGCATGATCTGCTCAAGGAAATGGCTTGGAGCATTGTGAACGAGGAACCAAAGCTCGGCAAACGCAGCAGGTTGGTGGATCCTGATGACATCTACAAACTATTGGCAACTACGAAGGTGGAAAGTTGGACAACATGTTATATATACTCCTTCCTCAAAGGCATAGGGATGATGGTTCGGCCGAGAAGGAAAAGGAGGAAAGTCATTGACATGGATGAGAAAGACAAATGTCCATTGGAGGGACTGAGAACTACCGAAGGTATCAGTTTGGATCTTTCTAAAGCCAAAGAGATGCGTCTGGAAGCAAATGCCTTCAAAGGGATGGATTCTCTTACATTTCTCAAAATTTGGGGGCTGTCGGAAGCCCTGGGGAAGAAAATCCATTTGCCATACGATGGGCTTGACTCACTTCCTGATGGTTTGAGATGGCTGCAGTGGGATGGATACCCTTCCAAATCACTACCTTCTGGAATTTATCCCCAACATCTCGTTCGTCTTATTATACGGCGTAGTCCAATTAAAAGCTGTTGGGAAGGATATTGCCAAGTAAGTAATTTTTATTTCTGACATTTGTTATTATTTTCTCGGTTAACTTTCACGTTTATGCTTTGCTTAGGTAAAGTTGTTGGGATATCTTACTGTAACCTGAATAATCTCTGTACTGTCAAGAGTATATGGTATATAAATTTAAATTATTAATGGGATAGCGTTGAGAATTAGAAAGATCGAGGCCACAAAAAAGAAATTATATAGGTTTTTTAAGGGAAAAAATTATATAGATTTTATTGTTTAAAATGTAACGGCATGATTGTAGAAATTAGTTTAATTAGTTATTTGGAATAGGGTAAAAATATAACATTTGAATAAGATTTGCAAATGTTCCACCTAATCGATGTACGGATAAGGTGAATAACCCAGTGTACATATGCATAACTATAAGATGTGGTGAATAATTCACTCTCACACTATCTTTTAATTTGATTTTAGTTTTGATTTTTTTCAAAACATATAAAAATTGCATAACATTATGTGGGTCACAATCAATGCATTTAATAAGTGTATAAGTTAAACAAAGAAGTGAATTAGAATGAATTTTTTTAATAAGATCAAGAAAATTGGGAAACTAATAAAAATATTATTTAATCTCAACCATTAAATTGATCCAATGGTTAAAATTTAGTCCATTTGACCAAATAAGCAATTAGAATTTTACCATTTTACTTCTAATGTTATGATTATAAACTTGTATTTGTTTCAACAACGAATTAATTATCTTTTTTTTTTAGCCAAAGCTGGCGAATCTGATGCTACTCGATCTCTCATATTGCTCCAATCTTACTGCTATACCTGATCTCTCGGGCTCTTTACAAATTGAGGAACTCCGACTTCTGAAATGCAAAAGCCTAGTTGAAGTACCCTCTCCTGTTCAACATCTGGACAAGCTGATAACGCTTGATCTTGGATATTGTATAAGCCTGGAGGGTCTTCCATCAAAACTTAGCTCAAAGGTTCTCAAGCATGTTCGGATAAACAACTGTCCAAAGGTGAAGCACTGTCCGGATATTAATTCAGAGGAGTTGATGGAATTGAATTTAGATGAGACACCTATCAGGGAGTTACCTAGTGCAGTTTACAATGTCAAGGAAGGTGGCCGCCTATAGCTCTTTGGTGAAAACATCACCGACTTCCCTGCAATTTCTACTAGCTTGAGGGAGTTTCACTTGTCGGATACTGCAATGAAAGAGATGAATTCTTCTGAGGTACTGCCGAAATTTGGTGAACTAGTATTGGATGATAACTCCCAACTCAAGAGCCTGCCAAATAATTTATGGGACATGGTCACGTCTTCTCTCTCTATTTGGGGCAGCCCACTTCTTGAGAGTCTGCCTGATATCTCAGAGCCTGTGAAAGGTTTATCCCGTATTCGGATATCCAACTTTGGAAGTTTCAAAAGCCTCCCATCTAGCATCAACAATTTAGTATCTCTAAAAAAACTCAATCTGGGAAATACCGGCATTGAGTCGTTGCCTTCCTCTATCCAGGAATTGGGCCACCTTGAGAGGATAGATATGAACAACTGCAAAAGCCTTCAGAGTATCCCGATCAATATCCATAAACTACCAAAGTTAGTTAGCTTGATCTTGAGAGGATGTGGAAGTATTCTATCTTTGCCGGAGCTTCCATCAAGTCTCTCTGTGTTGGATGTCGGTGGCTGCAAGTCCTTACAAGCTCTACCAAGCAACGCCACTAAGCTTAGTTGGAGCAGCCTCGCGTTTTACGATTGCCCCAAACTAGACAAGACAGTTCCTGATGAAATCCTAGCAAATTACCCAATCTATGCACCATCATCTGAACGTGTAAAGGTACATAAATACTACCATAATGCTGAGTTGGTGTTTGTATTTAATCGTATGTATATTATTAGTGATTGAACAAAGTGTCAAACATTTTTGTCTTGATAACGTCACCTCTCTGCGTTTGGGCAATAGGGGTGCCAGCTTCAGTATTCAGGGAGTGGGATTCCGGAATGGTTCACCTACAGAAGCGTGAAGGACAAGGATAGTTCATGTTTGACGGTGCAATTGCCTCCTGCTAACTGCACTAGTAGTAAGCAACTAATCAGAGGGATTGCATTTGGTGTGGTGTGTTCATCTCCAAATGCTTGGTTGTCTATGAGTTGTGACTGCAACATTGGCACCACTACTGTTGCCTCTTGGAACTGTTATGCTCAGTGGGATGTCATGAAGTCATCATCAGACTATGTGTTGCTATGGTTCGAATCAGGTGAGACAGAGTGCATAGAAAGAGAAGGAAAAGCATGGTATGTGAAATATGCAGGCCACACTGTTTCGTTCCATTTCTACCCTCATGGAAGTGATGGCAAGCGATTGAAAATAAAAAGATGCGGGGTCTCTCTACTGTACTCAGTTTGATTGATGAACAAAAAAGAAACAGATGGCAAGGTATCCTTTCCGTTTGGCTGAATCTCTATACTTTTACTTATTAATGTTACTTTCCAAAAGGCTAGGTAGATTAAAATTTTGCTCCATCACTTGTTATCAACACTTGTTAATTAACTCGTCCTAATGAGTTCAAGCATGGAATTATTATGTGCAATAACTCTTTTTATTTATTTATGAATTTTTGGATTCTCCTCTTGTGATTCAAAGGCTGAAATGCATGTAGGGTAAGGAGAAATTAGGAAAATTTAAGAAGAAAAAAAGAAAACTTATTTTGAAAAATCCCGATTTTGTTACTTGGCTCTCTCTCGTATTTTCTCCTATCCATTAATCTTGGTTCATCCATATCTTGATATTTGAACTCGAACCTCAACTTTTTTTTTTTGTGGCACGATAAAATTGAATTTTGACAGGCTCGTACATGAATGCATTCTAACGCCTTAGAAACTGCTCTTTACCTCAGTGGTTATAGGTTTAGTACTTTAGTAGTTTTGTATAGGCCACTGGTTAGGAATACAAATTATTCCACCGAGAACCGTAGATTTTCTGTTTGGTGATATAAACAAAAAACTAGTTTCTGTTGATTGACCGACTACTCTGCTAATCTCTTACAGGTATATACCGAATAATCCAGATGGTCTCTTCGGGATTCTTTCCCCTTCATTCCAGAAATGTAAAACCTGATGGCGAGCTTGAGTATTCAGGGGGCCGAATTCCAGAATGGTTTACCTACAAAAGCGTGAAGGACAAGGATAATTTGTGTACAGTGCAATTGCCTCTTGCTAACTGCACTAGTAGTAAGCAAACAATTGCATTTGGTGTGGTGTGTTCATCTTCTGATGCGTTGCCGTCTATGAAATGTGATTGTGTCATTGGCACTACAATTGTTGCCTCTTGAAAATCTTGTGCTTAGTTGGGATGTCACGAAGTCAACAGCAGACAATGTGTTCATATGGTTTGAAACAAAAGTAGAAGCATGGTATGTGAAATATGCAGGTCACACTGCTTCGTTCTATTTCTACCTTACAAACGCATTTGGAGGAGATTCCAAGCTATGGAGAAAGAAGATGAAAATCAAAAGATGCGGGGTCTTGCTACTGTACAGGAAGTTTGATTGACGAACAAAAAGAAACAGGTGGCAAGGTATCCTTTCCTTTGGCTGAATCTCTATACTTTTACTTATTAATTAATGTTACTTTCCAAAAGACTAGTAGATTAAAATTTTGCTCTACAGTCTGCCATTAGCTTCGATGTATTTTCATCTCATTTCTTTTCTTATGTTCTCACTTACTGGGCATTCATTCTTCTTGTATCATGAGTTTCTTAACCGTTTTAGCCTCTTCTGGACTTCTAGGTTGAGGAAAAAGCACAGATGGGGTGTGGATGAAGGGCAAATGGCACAAGAGTCCAAGTTGCTTATGGAAGTGTGGAGTGTATATGCCATCAATACTTGTTAACTCGTCTTGATGAGTTCAAGCATGGAATTATTATGTGCAATAACTCTTTTTTTTAATATATTTTGATTCTCCTCACGTGATTGAAAGGCTGAAAATGTGGGGAGGGAAAGGTTGTAAATCCGAGGACTGACCCGGATCCGATTGAGCTAGTGGGTCAAGGGTTAATGGGTCACCCGTTTTAGCCTAGAAATATGGAAAAGGTCATTATATTGTACTTATCCTGATAAATTATATCAAATCTAATCTCAAATATGAGTTATAACATATAATATTACACCAAAGTAACATGTTTTACTTAGATCCAACATGTAGTGAAAATTCACACACACTTATATAACATCAATATTCAAATGTTCAACTTAGGATTCCAAAGATTGAGTTAGGCAAAAAGAAAAATCAGAAAAATATGCGCATTTCGTAAACCAAAGAAAAAAATGACACAATTTGACCTCCAACCCGTTACCATGTAGTGGTCGATTCGGCGGGTGCGTACGACCCATTTTTCTCACCTGATTAGGGTTAAAGTGGGTCGACCCTAGAGGTGTCAATCGGGCGGGTTCATTCGGGTTGCGGGTTGATCGGGTTGCGGGTTACGTGTCAATCGGGTTGCGGGTCAATCAGGTTACGAGCCAATCGGGTTGCGGGCCAATCGGGTTACGGGTCAATCGGGTTGCGGGTCGGGCGGTTCCGGTTGCGGGTTTTACGGATCAGAACATCGTGTTAGTTTTTAGTGATTACTAGTAAGTCGTAAATCGTAACTATATGAAGCTATTATTTTGACTAAATTTGTAATAAAAAACTCGATCCTTATTAGTTATAAGTTATTATTTTGAGTTTTTGACTAATCGTCCCTAAAACATTAATACCTTATATCCTAACCCATTACACTCATTATAGGTTGATGATGTATATTATTATACTAAGTCAATAATTGATGATGTAATGATCAGACTTTAGTGAACTAGAATTTCAAATGTCAACTTTTGGTTTATCTTCATCGAATTCCTCCTATTATAGTTGGGTTGTGGGTTGGTCGGGTTACGGGTTCGGGTTAGTCGGGTTGCGGGTTGGTCGGGTTGCAGATTAATCGGGTTGCGGGTCGATCGGGTTGTGGGTTGGTCGAATTGCGGGTCGATTGGGTTGCGGGTTGGTAGGATTGCGGGTCGATCGGACTGCGGGTCGGGCGGGTTACGGGTCATTGACTTTTAGTCAAATCGGGTTACGGGTCGAGTTGATCGGGCGCGTTACTCGGGTCGGATTACATTTTGACAGCTCTAGTCAACCCGCTTGTTGACAACCGAAAATTTAAGAAAAAAGGAAGCTTATTTTGAAAATCCCGATTTTGTTACTTGGTTCTCTCTCTCATATTTTCTCGTCTCCATTAATCTTGATTTATCCATATCTTGAAATTTGAACTCGAACCTCAACATTTTGTGGCACGAACAAGTTGAATTTGGCAGGTTCGTACATGAATGTACTAACGCCTAAGAAACTGCTTTTTACCTCGACTTTGTACCACCCTGGAAAAGGACAGTTGACAAATACGCTTTACCATGGCGGTAAAAAAAGGAAGTACTAATTAACGCCCTATGTTTTTAAAATTTGTCGCCCTAATTTTGCAACTTGACGTTTTTGCCACACGCTTTTATTCCCAATATATAACAAATCTTCGCCCTAGATTCTGCACCGTCACCGCCGTTCGCCTGGGAGTCGCTGTCGCCACCGCAACTGCCTTCCGCTGCGCTGCTCGATCCGCCTCGTCGACGTCACCATCGCTCTAATCCCATCCGGCCCAATTCCCACCGGTGGAATTCTCTCTCCAACTCACGAAGTTCTCTTCTCCACCTCCCCTTCTGTCCCGCTCAAGGACGAAGAAGATGAGAAAGATCCATTGTTCTGCTTTGACGGTCGCGCGCCTGCTCTGATTCTTGGTCCGTCCCGTCGTCGCCGTCATGCCTGCTCGGTGCGCCAATCGGGTTCCATCGTCTATGCTGCTGCTGCCGAGCGATGGTGAGGAGGAAGAAATAACAGCTCGGTCCGACCCGGCCGTCGCTCTATTTCTTCTTCGTCCTTGAGAGGAGTAGTAGCGGAGGAGAATTCCGCCGGCGACGAGCAGACGGATTTAGGGCCATGGATTGGGGGCGACGAGCAGAGGGAGGAATCTTCAACGGCGACGAGCAGAGGGCGTGGGCCCGGCAACGAGCAGAGCCAAGCTGGGGATTAGGGCGATGGATTGGGGGCGTGGGTGAAGAGTCTTTCGTCGGCGACGAACAGAGGGCGTTGGAGGGGCGACGAGCAGTTGGGGCGCTAGGGATTAGGGTGATGATTGGGGCGACCCGCGACCGTTCTAGAAATTGGGGGTAGAATTGTCTGTTTGGTTAATTTAGGGCGAAATTTTTAAAAAGTTAGGGCGTTAAATAGGAATCCAGTTAATATTTACACTCACAGCGGCCGGTAAACGGTTATTTCGTTGTCGGTGTAATCGATAATCAAATTAGGACCGGTATTTAATGGTTACATTGATAACCGATTAAATAGTAATACGGTCGGTCTTCGGTAGCCAAATTGAGTTAATAATTAATCGATGGTTAAACGGTTAACCGACTAATCGATTACGACCATCCTAATAGTTAGAGCCGAAAATAATAGACCTCCATTAGCTGTAAACATATGTAAAAAAATAATGGGGTGTTTAAAAGCTTACAAGACCTCTTGCCTATCCTAGTTGTAATAGTGACTTCTTTAATAAAGTGTGATGGTAGAATGATATTATTGTTTACTTGTATTGGATTGAGTTGATTATGTATTGATATATATCTATGTTAAATTATTTTTCATTTAAAAAATAAAAATTATAGAAATTTTCACAATTGAAAAAAGGAGGTCTTTTTTACAAATAAAAAGGATTTCTTTTGTTGGTTACGTTATCGAAGACATTATACAACTGAGATGCACCTGTAATCCCTTGATCAGTTATTTTGGTTTAACCATGCCGAATCACTTGGTTAACGGTTATCCGGGTAACCCACAAAAGAACCAAGAACCAACTATACGGTTACGGTTAACCGACTAATTTAAACGGTGCGGTTAATGTTAAGCACAATGTGCTTAACGGTTAACGGAGAACCGACTAAACGATTCCGGTTATAACCGAACCGAATCTATTATCATTCATACACTCACTTTATGATAAATCTAGATTGTGTATTTTGATTAGGGTACAAAATGTGGCGGAGTGAGAAATATGAACGAGTGAGTTGATTTCAATCGCGGTAGTTGGGAGATAAGCCTTTACCGACTACTCTATATCATAAAATTGTTACGAATTTTGCATGTAATTTGTCCCAGTGTTATTAAAACTGGACCAATAAGTCCGACCAGTAAAACCGTCAACCTGCCTCCAAACTGGTCTGATCATAATATTTAACCGCCAGCAATGAATCGTACCGTTTGTATCGAATCGGCCGGTTAACCGGAGGAGCAGCGCAAACCGTCAGCTCAATTTTACCGGCCAGAATTGCAAAAACTCATCATCAGAAGAGGTAAACCGGTGAGTGATCGCTCTTCCCAACATGATGGGTCCTAATATTTGATTGTATATATATTGTATACCTTCCTCGGAACCGTAATGTGTTGATTTTTGGGATTCATCGAAAATAGTTTCAATGTTCAACTATACTAGGGTGAAACAGGTAAACATTTCTGCAAAAAATTATTTGCCTCTTACTTGTGTTTTAAAAAATTTCATCAGGTAAACCTCCATCAAAACGTCTAATTCCTCTCGAATGGATAAATTTTAGAGTAATATACATAGCTTAGGGTGACCGCTAGTGCCTAGTATACTATACACGTTGTAAAATTTCATAATATCCAGGCATTCACGTGATTTTGTAAAGAAAAAGGTGTGTTTGCGCTATATAAGAGGTGTGTGATGATTCGGGTCACGTCGAATAATGAAGTTAAATCGAATCAACTTTCGGACCAAATCAAACCAAAATCGAATATATACTATTCAAATTAAAAAATTTAAATTCTTTTAATAATTATGAAAATGCAGTTAAAATTTAAAAAAATGAATTTGTACTATATTGAATTGAAGCAAGTACAATTTGGTTTCAATCTTGATTCTCGATTTGTTTTCTTTTCATCGTTCGATACATTTCACGATTTGGTCCAAAATCGACCGAATCTAACCACATTGACACACCCTACATTAATTACATAATGATATATAAGAATCGCATTCCATGCATGCCTTTTTCATCATTGTATAGTAGTTCTAACCATTATGGCCGCAAATATTTGTTTTAACTAATCCATGCAGTATGCTAGATAGAGAGCATAGATTTGTTGGGAACCTTGTACTCATAAGGTTAAATTAATCAGTTAGTGATCACTAGATTGATATCTCCATTGGGGAAACCATTGGTAGGGTTATTCAATCAAAGATGCCATGGAAATTTTGGAATCTAATTTTGCCCTCAAAAGCAGGAAAAGAAAAGGCGAGATAAAAAGTAGTTTGCATCTTGCATGCATGATTTTGGAAAAGCAACAAATGTGTACCAAAGATGATATTGTATATTGGTAACTAATTGCAGAAAGTGGGTGTCCCTTTTTACAGCGAATAAAGCTCCACTCTTTTTCCACGTTAGCTCGTTGTCCGACCCGTTGGTAGGAATGTCATTTGAACACAATGTATTTATGATCTGTATTTAAATTTTTTAAATTGATTGAAGTGCTGAATTTCGTATGACATCAAGGTGACATCGAAATTATTTTTCCATTTCCGAAATTCTTATAACTTTTCATCAATGGTGAACATTGTAATCTTAATGGTTATCACCAAAGTTGTCAAATCGGTTTAAGCCGTTAAGTCGGTCAAGCAAGTGGATTGAAGTTTAATGGTTTGATTGAGGTCTAACCTGTTTGAGTCGTTTTACACCTTTTCTAAATATATTTACATATAAGATAGAAATTTAGTGACTGAATAGAATGTACTAACTTATATTTATTAAAAACTCAAATAGTCAAATTCCATAAAAAAACATACATATCTCAAGATCCACCCACCATCCCCTTGCCTCCCCCCCCCCCCCCCCCCCCCCCCCCCCGCGGGCCTCTCTCTTCTTCTCCCTCTCTAACGATCATACCTTGATTTTGTAGAGCCAGTTTTGGAGCACGACTTTGGTCGTACCTAGTCCAACCAGTCGTCCGGTAGTGATGTCACCACCTTGATTATAACACTTGTGAATAACCATTCATAACTTCTCTATTTAATGAC